ATCTGAAATATAACAGCGAGGATAAGCCAGACATTCAACAGATTTACAAACCAGTTCATGGCCACTATATTATCCGCATATTCACAAGCAAACTCTGTATTCATAAATCATTGGAAAATTTATAAATACAGAAAATGTTTATAACCGCCTTAAATTTGCGAGAGAAAAATTTATGATTTATAAATCGATTTATTTATATTGATTTATAAATGAGCCTATTTCGGACTCTTCAATGGGTATGGCAAACGTTTACTTAGATTAAAATTTCATAATGATTCTTAGATACTTGCTACTGAACATGATGATAAGCTCACCCGTTTACCATTGAAATACACCCTGTCGATCAGCAGTGCTGATATCTTTTCAGCAGTTATAAATCTGCGGTTGTGTGATCTCTTATTTTATTGAAGAAAGTTCATTCTATAAGATTGTAGTTTGAAAAAATATTTGTGTTCCTGAAAAAACTATATGATCTTCTAATGTATTTGTTAAATATGACGTTCAATTATCATTCTTTTTCCTTCTAGTCTAATTTACATGATAGATAAAAGTACTTCTGCAGACTGTGAGACACTGAACTTCTTTTCCAGTACTGTTCCTCTGTGACAGCTTGGACAAGTTGATGGTGTATTTTCGAGATTTAAAGAGTTAGGTCAAAGACTTAGAGATCTGATTACAGCTATATATTTTTCAACACTTTTTGACGACTTCACATATGTAACAGGATTCTGTTCTAAACAACTTTATAATTTTACGTAGTGTCAAATTCGACTTCTGAAAAGCAGTAGACATTTATCTAGTCTTACGCCTATAGGATAAAAAAAGTCAAACTCGCTGCACTGTGTATCTGACTCAATATTTACCGAAGATTTTGAGAAAGTTTTTGTATCATTGTGTAGAATAAAAATGTTGAATTTATTATCATGTTCAATACCAAGTTTTTAGAATCAGAGACGGCTGGCAGTTCATAAAAATACGTTAGAAGTTTTAAAACACAGGACATAGAAAAACAGTGTAATTTATTGTCTATTAAATGTCTATTAACAGCCCTCAAAACGTGCCTTAAATGACGTTTTTTAGCTAGTTAACACCAATTTTTGACCATTTCTCGGCATTATAACTGGGAGGACATTAAAGCCTGAAAGCGGCATTTTTTTAATGGTCAGGAAACAGGCTGAAAATGAACATTTAACAGTAACCGTTTAATGGTCATTTTTGCGTAAAGAGACCATTATTAACTGTTTATGGCCAAATTCATAGGCAATTTTCCATTCAGCGCAATTTCTTTCCTATCGACATGAGCTGTGACGGATCGATTAGTCGATCATCAAGAAAAAACCTCATGAGTCTACTATACCTTACTTTTGTTGATCCACAACCGTAGACACTAGCGGCATCTGTTGCCTGATTGAAAATGTGTATGTCAGGACCCATGTTGACGAAATCGTGCCATTTTTAACAATTAATCGCAATTCTTGAAAAATTGCAAATTAATTGACGATTCCGATGATTTTTCTTTTTTGTAAAAATCGGTAGTTAATTGAGATTAGTTGTTGATTTCAAGCGATTAAATGGTTATCCCTAGTCGACTCTCCCCCTGAAAGTCCCCGGGGACTCCCCGAAAAATGCATAATCCCCGGGGACTCCCCAGGGAGTCCCCCTCCAAGTCCCTGGGGAGTCCCTAAAAATGTGTACTCCCCGGGGAGTCCCTAGGGAGTCACCCTCATACTCCCCAGGGAGTCCCCAACATATACAATCCCCGGGGAGTCCCTGCCAACTCCCCATTCACCGTTTGTTTTGCAGATAGACAATATATAAATATAATATAGGTCTATGATAAAATTTTACGAATTTTCTTCTAGTAAGCCAACATTAATGTGTCAATCTTCGATGGCTGATATATGCTACACTGGTACCAGTGATGGTACCTAGCACTTAATTACTAATTATTTATATGAAATTATATGAAAACAGATGGACCAATAGATCTACAGGGAGTCCCCAGGGACTCCCGTTACGGAATCCCCGGGGAGTTTTAGAGGGACTCCCCGGGGAGTCCCTGGGGACTTTCTTGGGGAGTGTCGATTAGGGATTGTTATTACTGTTTTATTTTGCAGTAAAGTATGTATATATAAGAAACACAATTTCAGCGAGAAATACACTCTATTTAGATCATCTTTTTATTTTAGAATAAAATGGGGTTGTCAAGGGTCTTCTATATAGTCCCTTAGAGCTTTAAGCAGAGGAGCCCAGTGAACCATTACACCGATAAAAAAAAATTAAAGTTTTTTTAGAGTTAAAGAAAAGTGCTTTTTCGTATTCAGCACACTGGATAACCTGGAAAATTTTCTATTTTTAGCGAAGGGTACCGCCAAAAAGTTAAGAAAAATTTTCAGAATTGTATAATTTTACCATGGAGATTTTTCTGCGTCAATTTGTTTGAAAATTTTTCTTAACTCTTTGACGGTACCCTTCGCTAAAAATAGAAAATTTTCCAGGTTATCAAGTGTGCTAAATACGAAAAAGCACTTTTCTTTAACTCTAAATAAACTTTAATTTATGTCGATGGTAATATGTGTTCTCCAAGATGGGTTCGAACCTAGTATCCAGAAAAAAAATCGTCAATTAATCGTATGATTTTTCACGATTAATTGCCGATTTTTATGCGATTTTTGGTACATGTGGAGCGTCATTATGAAGCACTTTGCTGCGTCTCGACCTTTGATCCTTTTCAAATATACAGCCATTTACTTAATTAAAACGGAATTTCTATGAAAAAGTCATAAATTAATGAAGTTAAATCTTACAATAAAGATGCTCATAGTACGATTCATTAATAATGTCATAAAACATTCAGACAGCAAATAAGCAGTTAACATTACTTGTTTTTATTTAGCATAAACATGTACACGTAAGTACGAAGTAAAACTGATTAAACTGTTATTGAAGAGACGCACAAATAAAAAAAAGAACATAAATACAACAAAGCGTAGTTCATACACACAAAAGCAAACACTAAAAGTGTATAAATACCGTAACAATCACGCAGGCAAAGTTTATCCAAAAGGATTTTCGGATCAATATTGTGATTCCAACATGCAATTCTATATTCTTTTTTTTTTATATATGAGATAGAACATCAGCTTTCCCGTTGAGACTTGATCAGCAAGTAAGATTTATATAAACTAATGATCGAAAAAAAATCAGCCCCTATTTCATATATTTCATCAAAGATAAAGAAATATACATATTATTCAGTTGCAAGAAGAAATATGGTCTAACTATATCATTTGGATTGATATCTTTAGTATGTTCTTGGATCAATACCCATATGAGATGGTGAGTGTGATCGCGCTCGATGACTTGTTTCATGCCGTCTTGTTGGTGGCGATGGACTGCGTGTACGAGTATGCGCTGTATGCCGTTGATTATTATAGTTATGAGATGAAGGATAATAATGATGTTGTTCTTGTCTCTGTTGTTGGTGTTGTTGTTGTGGTATATGGACAACAGGCATGGCTATTGTTGGTTGCACAACAGTTAATAATCTTTCGAGGCGTGCCGTGATTTCATAATCCGGTACAGACAAAGTTTTGGCATCCAAGCCAAGCATACGTGCAACAAGGCCACGAAAATCAAGTAACTATAGAAGAAAAAATAACAACTTAAACATAAATGAAGCGATTTGTGAGAGCATACATACTCGTCGTTCTCGCTCAGTCACTTGTTCTAATGAACTTTTAAGAAATCTTAATTCATTTGATAAAGATCGAACAGCATTATCCGATGACAATAATGTACGATTTGTTTCTTCATCAACGTTATGCATTTTATCTTGTAAATTTGAAATTTTTACGGCTTGTTTATCGCGAACATTTTGTAATTTACTATTATCTTCTAATAAACGACGAATTTCTTTCTCGTGTTCCATTATACGACTCTTAAAAAATGAATATCAGCATAGATATTATTATTTTATAATTGGTCTCTATTTCTTTCTTACTTTCAACATATGAATATCGGTCATTTGTGCTTTTAATTGCGTGTTTTCATGCTTCAATTCATTGACTTGTTGTGTCAAGTTATCCACTTTTACCTTCATCTTTCTACTTAACATTACATGATCATCGATTTCTTTTTCTAAATCCGATTTTGAATTTCGTCCTTCTTCAAGAGCAATAACTTTTTTACGTAATAAATCTAAATGTAAATCTTTATTTTCAATTTGTTCTTTCAATTGTTTTATTTTTCGTTGTAATGAATAAATATTTGTTTTTTGATCAACAATTGAATCATTTTCTAATTTCATCAATTGTTCAGCACGTGTCAATATTACATCTGGATTTAATTCATAACCAATATCATGTGAAACATTTTGAATTTTCATAACAGATGCCAAACGTTCAATAAAATGAAGAAACTAAATAATAATCAAAAAATACGTTGTCTGTTAAAATAGTTAAGCATTATTTCTATTATTACCTTGGCTTTGTCATGTTTTAAATTTTCTCTATAGACTTCTGTTGTTGTATAATCATTGTCAAGTGTTTTTAAACGATGTTCTAATTCTAATAAATGTTGTTCGGCATGATGACGTTTTGAATCGGCCTCTTTATTTAATTCAATTTGTTCTTGCAATTGTTTTGATAAATGTTCTTTCTGATTTTGTAAATTTGTAATAATCACTCCTCGATCTTTCGATGATTGCATTAATAATTGTATTTTCTCTTTAATTTCATCTTCTTTTGGTTCAACTTTAACATATCCATCAGATAATAATTGTCCAACTTGTTGTTTAAATGAATCTAAACATGTTTTTGCATATAATGCATCATTGTCTAGTTGTTTAAGATTTAATTCATTTGCTAAAAATTTTTCTTCACGTGTATCCAATTCTTGTTTAGTATTTTGCCACGCTTTTTGTACACTTTCCAAACGAGATTTCATTGTTTCTAGTTCACGTTGAATTGATTCTTTATTACTCAATGCTGCATCACGTTCACCTTTTAACGTATCGATTTGTAATCGACTACCAACACCATTTTGTTCATAATTTTGTAATTGATTAACCATTTGTTGTATAGTTGAACGATTTGCAGATGATTCATTTTCTAACGATCTATTTTTTTCTTCCAATTTGACTAATCTACCTTTAAGTGATGTATTTTCTGCATTGATATCAGATATCTAGTTTATAAATCACAATAATTATTCATAATCCTCAACTAGCTAACATTACTTACTTTTGTCTTCAAATTTTCTAGAGCCGCTGGTGTTGGCACACCACAATCCGCTCCGAATATAATATTTAGTTGTGAAAATAATTCATGTAATTTTTTATTTAATCCTTCTGTTTTGCGTTCACTTGTTTCACGTTCTTCCATATGTGTTCTAACAAAAGAACAACAATAATGTGTACATCATTTTCTAAATGAAATGTTGTTTGTTTACCTTATTCTCGATTGTAATTCTAATAACTGTTCTTGTTTTTCTTTAATCTCATGTTGTAATGCTGTTATTGTCACTGATGATTTATTAGTTACCGATTCATAACTACCTACATTTCCTTCTAATTCACGAACACGTATTTTTAATTGATTATTTGCATTATTCATAATATCATATTCTTTTTTGATTGATTCAACTTCATGTCTTAATTCATTTATATGTTCATCTTTTGCCGATAATTTTAGCGTACATTCACGTAACTAAACATATATAATTAAAAAGCGTGATTATTACAATAGTCATTAAGAACTTACATCATGAGTTGCACTTTCAACTCGTGTTTGCATCTGAGCAAGTTCTCGCCGAGCATTTTCTAATGCATTTCGTTCGGCACCAACCATGGCTTCATACTTAAACAAAGACGTTTATCATATTCAAAAAATATACCATTTGGACAAATAAATGCTTACTTTTGATGTTTCAAATTGGGTATGTTTATTGACATCTCTAAAAAAATTGTAGAACATGATAATTTCAAGAATCAATATAAACAAATCTGAACCAGAACATTTTACTCTCCCTAACCATAAATTGTGAAAAAAATAATGCTTTCTCTTCTATTTGAAAGCAAAATAAAGAGATTTCTAAGAAATTATAGCCTATTAGCATGCATAAAACTTACTAGAGACTTTAACTACGCTAAAACATGATAATTTAGCCATGATTATCAAATCAACATAAAAAATGAGGGTTAAGAATGTTGCTGTGATTGTAGGTATAGAGAACTGACATGAAACCAAATTTTTTCTAGAACTACCTCATGCTAGATAATTCTTGGATTAAACCATCCTTTTTCTCCAAGTCTCTTTTCAAGAGTCTTACTTGATCTTGCAGCTAAAATTAAACAAAATGAATTTTACCGGCATTCTTATCACTTTATCTATCTACAAAATTCACTTACATCTGCTGCAATTTTTTTTGCTTCATAATTACCGTTCGTCTCTTGATAGTGATGTTGCACTGTTGTTGGACTGGAACTTGTTCCATAAGAGCCACGATAGTTATTACTTACTAATGGACCATTTGAATGTGCATCAATAATATTGCGAGCTGAACCCAATAATTCACGTTCTAGCAAGTAACTTGACATTTTTTTCTTTGATATAAAATAGAATAAAGAAAGTTGCTCATTTCTAGTAGAATGCACGTAGTAATTTAAATTAGCAATAAAAGTTGACTACATGGAATATAATCTACTTGTGTGCGAGAGTTTGACTCTTCCTTATGAGAACAACGAAAATCAGACTGAAATAATGCTCAATATTTGATTTTGTATCTGTCTTGTATCCACAACACCAAGCATTTACCTTTAACTTTCTTCTTTTGCTCTTTTTCTAATACCTGAGAAAGTGGGTCAATATGGTCCGCTGGTTGCGAAGTAGAAGATTTGCTTACTTAAAATATTTAAGAAAAATATAGAATAAACAGAAACATACTCTAATGATGACTTAATAGACATTCAAATCTTTTACATACATCACCATTGTCCTTGTTTCAATCCTGGAAACACCCTCTACACTAAAGAATATTTAGTCTTGTACTGCGTTATTTATGGATTAAGTCCACAATGAAAAGATTGTTTTACACGAAAATTTTCAGAAAGATTGTTATTTATTTTTATTGATACACTCATCTTTGTGCATAAAGAACTTGTTACACTAACTCATCCAATGATGACTGTTCATGCATGCAGTCTACCTTCAATATAATTGATGTAAAAGTTGTTTCTAAATGGAAAATGCTTTTGCACGCCCCTTTTGATATATTGTCCCAGTAAGAGACATTAAAAAGTAACTCATTCTTCTTTGACTGTGACCCTGGAAAGATCGTGTGCAGTGGAAGCACTTAATCGACAAATGAACAGAAAACATTCAGAGTAGAAGTAAACTTTTTCTACTTCAATGTAAAATAATTTGTAAAATGTCTCCTCAGCTATCATATTCCTATTAATACTATCAATCAATTAATCAATAGATTTTTTATTTGAACACGAATGTGTCTAGGCTGTTACAAAAAAGGGAAACTTAAATGAATGTAACTTCTATGTAAGGCTACTACGTTTACATGCATATCAGCTACATTGATCTCTGTCTCTATCATGTGGACCGGCTTGATTTATTATTCAAATCTTAAAAATTCAATTTAGCATCATATTTGCTGGATTTATCGAATCGAAAAAGTACACTCGATTAGCTCGTTGCTTGCTTGATTATGGAACTAGAAACTGATACTATCTCAGTGTGAAATACTATAGATCATTTCAGCCTGTGTCGTGTACCTTTACACTTTGATTGCTCTAAAGCTTTCCTCTTTAACATATCTTACAACTGTATTCAGTTCGAAATAATGATATTTGTTCTTGTTGTTTTATAGATGAGGCAGAGATAATAGACAAAACGATGACGATCAAAGTAGCACCATTTCATTTTTTACTATTATTTGTAATTAGCTTAAACAGCAATATTGTATACTGTGACGAACATGAACATAAGGTAGATCGATGACTAAAGACTTCTACTTCTATTCTCACTATTGAGATAAATTAATTTTTTAGTATACTGACGGCGAAGAAGTCGTTTTGTGGATGAATACCGTTGGTCCATACCATAATCGACAAGAAACGTATAATTATTTTTCACTACCGTTTTGTCGTGGAAATAAAAAAGAAATATCTCATTATCATGAAACATTAGGAGAAAACATTCTTGGTGTTGAGCTCGAATTTAGTGGAATTGAGTAAGTAGATTTGATACTACTTTAAATAAGAGAGACATTGATGAAGACATACTTTTTTTATTTAGCATCGAATTTCAACATAATAAAGTTAAAAGTGATTTTTGTGACGTAACATTGACGCCCGATTATTATGATGCATTTTTTTATGGTATTAGAAATCATTATTGGTATCAAATGTTTATCGATGATTTACCCGTTTGGGGTATGTTCAATTCAAAATGAAATGTTTGTTTTGTATTACCATAATTTTTTCGAAGGTATTGTTGGTGAAATGGATGACTCAGATAAATCTGCTTATATTTGGACACATAAAAAATTTGAAATTGGTTATAATGGTGATCGTATTGTTGACGTAAATTTAACGTCAGAAGCAAAAGTTCGGCTACAACCAAATATGCAATTACCATTTTCATATGAAGTTCGTACCTACTTAATTGACTAGAGCAAAAAAAACAGTCTGTTTTCTTCTTTAAGGTTGTTTGGAAACCAAGCAATATTCCATATAAACACCGTTTTGACAAATATTTAGATCCAGGATTCTTTCAGCATAAAGTATGCGATAAAGAATTTGTATTTTAGACTTCACATTGTTACTAATTTTTGTGTAGATTCATTGGTTTTCAATATTTAATTCATTCATGATGGTTCTATTTTTGGTTGGCTTAGTATCGATGATATTACTTCGTACTTTACGTAAAGATTATGCACGTTACGGAAAAGATGATGAATTAGATGATATGGTAAGTGTTATTATAATCTGATTAGCTCCAATGTTAAAACATTCTTAGATTTATACTTGCATGCAACATTTTCGGTACAAATTTTGAGAGAGGACGGACAGTATGCTGAGT